CAAGTCGGACATTACGCTCCTCCCGGAGACGCAGACGATCTTCGGCGTGATCTACTCGGTGTTTATTACGTAGGTTTTGCTGGTTGCCTAATAAAACAGACGAAATATGCCATCGTGCCTAAAACACCTGCTGAACCCGGCGAACTTGTTGAATCCTGCCCCCGCTGACTTGAACCCTGGGAATAAGATAAAAAATGTACTTTAAATGTATTCGGATTTTTGCCAGCATTTTTAGCATCCAAAAATTATTGAAAAATCCCGGATTTGATACCTTTACGTTAAACGTCTTGAAATCGCTGGTTGCCTGCTTTATAATGATGCCAAAAATATAAAAAATATGCTCTGTTTTACCGTTTTTTGACTTCACAAGGCCTTTAAAACAAGATGTTCTTAAAATAATATGTTTTCAGATTCGGAGTAGTCGGCAACCTCCTCGTCATCCTCTCCGTACTCCAAAATAAATCATTGCAATCGGTTAGGAATGTTTTTATCGGTGAGTTTGAAATTTGACAGCACTGCCCCAAATCCACAGCAAAATTACCGTTTTTCCGGCTTCACTGTCCCTTTAGACCCAATTTTTCAGTCTCCCTCTCCTGCTCGGACATTGTCGTCTCGGTGGTCTCCGGCTCGATCACGCCGATTACAGCCTTTTCAAAGATTTGGCTGTTCGGCGCCCAGCTGTGCTATCTGGTGCCCTTGATACAGGTCATGCAGAAAAACCCTTACCTTAACAAGTATTTAGGGTACTTCTCTATGCTTTTCCACCCTGACGTTAATGGCCATCTCAATAGATCGGTTTTTCCTAATCATATTCCCAACAAAAAGGTAAGAATATGCCGTTTTTTCGGGTTATGATGTATAGGTTGTAGCCTAAACTTTTCTAAGTCGAAAAGTACGCTTAAACCCAAGCCTAAGCTAGTTAAACAAAAAAATTTCAGGCATATCCGAATGTCAACAGCGATGAAGCTCGTAGCCTTCAATGCCGGATTAGCCATGTCCATATCTTTCCCCATGTTTATCAAGCAAAGATTGGTCATCTACGAGGTATCCATACCTTCAAAAACCTAGAAAATTGTTTAAGAACTTCTGCGGAGAGATCTGCACTGAAGATTGGGACGACAACGAGCAGCTGAGGACCGTATACGGTAAAAAACGGAATAACCTCGAAAACGCTGCTTTAGGCACTGTTGTCTTTGTCATCCAGTTCATCTTCCCGCTCGTGATCATCACCTTTTGCTACTCGATGATATCGATCAAGCTCAGCAAGGTAGGGCTATAACTTCATCGGATCTATTTTATTCCAAAAAAAGCGAATTGGTTTGAATAAATTGAATTTTAGGGCGTTCTCGTCCGAGCAGAAGAAGGAATCCTCACGGAGCAGCGCAAAAATGCAATGAAAAGGCGGTTACGAACAAACCGGATGTTGATAGCTATGGTAAGAAAATAGTTAACGTTTTTTGGACAATTTGTATGACATTAAAAATTATATATTCTTGAAATTAACTTGAACTCCTTCAGGTCGGTGTCTTCTTCTGCTGTTGGATGCCGGCAGTGGCGTTCAACTTTTTGAGAGACTACAACTGGTTGCCACGTTTCATCGTGAAGCAGATCTACTTTTACGGCATTGTGACGCACTGCATTTCGATGAGGTAGGCCTAAGCCTAAGCATAAGCGAAGCTAAGCTAAGCTAAGCCTAATCCTAAGCCTGTAAGCCTAAACCTAAGCCTAATCCTAAGCCTAAGCCTAACTTAAGCCTATCTCATTCTTTTCAGCTCAACAGTTTGGAACCCCATCCTGTACGCCCTCCTCAACGAGCAGTTCCGGATCGCGTTCAGCAACCTTCTACGGTCTTGCCGAAATCGCGACAACACCATGAAGGTAATTTTCATATCAACTTCCATCAAGTATCCATTAACCCCTACTTTCCATTCTACCGTAACCCACCGACCACCCGTTTTTTTACGTTCTTGCACCACTTCCGCCACTAATATCAGTTGGCCCCTCATCTATTCATCTACTTTTTCCGCCTCCTACTTCTTGGACTATCTTTAATTTTGCCTTTTCTATGCCTCTCCTTAATGCTCCCGTTTACCCCGAGGCTTTTAAGGGGAATCTGGCCAGGAGTACTATGATGTTAGCCAATGTAAGTTTGCGCACAGCGCCAAGGAACCCAAATTGCAAAGTGCAAATTCCACCGGAAAAACACGAGAAAATCACTTTCACGAAGCAAAAAACTAGCAAATTCACTTAATCGGGATAAAATCATCATAAAAATTAATATAATCTTGTCAGCACTATGATAGGCTACAGACTACATCGAAATCTTGTTTTTTTTTTGGGTCGCTTCCAGCCCCAAGCGTGCTGATTTTTGCAGAAAGGTACCAGCACGACTAAAAGTTCGAAATTTCGTAGCTAAACGTGCTAAAAAGCGCGTTTTCTACCCTAGCCTCAGACGCCCCCCTACTGCCATTTTGCCTTCCTAATACCTCTATAGCGCTAAAACTCCCCTTCTGGGAGTTATTGAAAATACTAGAAAAACCTTGCGGTTCTCCGTGCTTGTCCAAAATCAGAGTTTTCTATTAATTCGATCTTCTTCTGCTAAAAACCGCGCTTTCTACCGTAATCCTGATCTTCTAGAACCTTTAAAATCCGAACATCATCTCGATAAGGCCCTACCAACTCGAGCACATCACTAGTTAATGGCTAAATTTGCCAATCACTACGCCCCAATCCAATCCACACCCAAAATCACCACCCACTTGCCCCCGATTCCCCCCTCTAAAGCGTGCCCTTCCTAGGTCTGCAAGCAGCAAACATTCGTCACCGGGACCTCGTTCGTCCGGCGGAACTGCTCGCAGTCGTCGATACCCCTGAAGACCGATGCTTCGGATGAGCTGCTAAACCCGACCACAAAATCGATGAGCCCAAGGGTCGAGCGGCAACGCTCGACGAACTCGCTGAACATCTCCTACCCCTCGTACACAGATTGAGGTGTGTGTGTGTGATGTACATGGGTGCATTGCGGAAGTTGAACTGTTTGGCTGCCTATCCCTTGGTTCATACTTTCAAATGCGTGGCTTTTTCCGAGTGAGGGTACTTGTAAATGGTGCCTAGGGTAGCTTACAAATCCTGTGTAGAGAGGAGTGTAGCGTAGGCGTGCTGTAGATATTGCGCTAAACCAAATATTCCAGAACCAAGTATATAGGGGGTTGTAAAGAGGGGTGTAACGTACATTATTACTCCTAGAATTTGTCACCTAATTTGTAGAAACTCTATTTTTTAGCCTAGGAATATCGAAAAAGTTTATCATACGACGTTTCCTATGTTTCATGGCGTAATCGATTGACGGCCTACAGTAGGCTTCACTACGCTACACTCCTGATGACGCAGAAAATTACAAAATCAGCCAATCCGCCAAAAAGATCGTATTTTTCAGCAAGAACCTAATATTCCCAAATTCCTTGCGGTGCTAGCTTTTTGAGTTTTAGCCGTTTTGTTTGATCATCCTACTGTAGAAAGTCACTAGACACTCTAGAAGCACAAAAAAATTGAATTTTTCATACTGTAGCCAAAATCATTGATCTACGAAACCAACGAAAATCACCTGCAAAAATTCTCGGATATTAATTTTTATTAAGTTTTTATGGGTTCAAAGAAACGACTTTTAATGGGCCAGCTGGAAATCTGGAATTTCATAATTATTTGCTAGCCGGAAGAAAACGGAAACCTGTGGATGCTACTGTAGAAATCATCGAACGCTTGTGCCCGGAAAAAAAAATTGAAATTTAAAGTTTTAATGATTCGATTTTAGTACGAGGCGGCCCGCCGATTCTCGCGACTGATGTCCGGCGCCTTCCTATCCCAGGAACCGAAACGGAGCCGAGTGCCTTCTGATGTATGAAATGGATCGTTTTTTGTTTTTATAGTTCCATAATTATGCCCTTGCTGGTTTAAAGGTCTATGGAAGCCAGAATTTAGAAAAATCTACGTTATTAGCAGGTTTTAAACAAGCAAAACACGAAAATAATTTATTTTGAGAGTTCAAAAACTTTCAGGGCGTAGTTTTGGTACTTATTAAATTCTTCTGACTTCCATATCCCTCTAAAAATCTTCTTATCTTGAGATTAGCCCGGTTAATAGTACAAACACGGCTCCCCCACAAACCGCCCAAACCATTTCTCCCTCCTGCATGGACACAAATCGATCAAATCCCACACTTCCGGGTACCGCGCACTCTGCTTATCTCTCGTTGATTTTTGTATATTATTATGTGCTTAAATAAAATTTATATTGATATGGATCATACACTTTTTCATAGATCAAAAATACAAGAAAATCGACATGACAACAGAAGACGATATCGAACATTTGTTTACGTAAAAAAACGAAAAACTTTGTAAAAATTTCGTAATTTTTCGCACTAAACTTGCTTTGAAACAGTAGGAAGCTTATATAATCCATTAAAATACTTTGAACGTAGCCTAAGAATTAAAATATGCAAGGTTTTCGAATTTTTTTTCGTCGTTTTACACGGTTTTTTGTCACGTCCCTAATCAAAATTTTATAGATTTTGTAGATACTTCGACTGACGATTGTACTCACTATTTGTAGTTTTTCAAACTTCCTTCCCTACGCGCAACATTTCCGCGCGAATACCATCGCGTAATGCAACGGGTCCACCCACTGGGGCGTTGCGGTCGCGGCGCGTCGCTGGACCCACGCGGGTCTTGCCGGGAATCGCTTCACCGATAGGTTACCACCTCAGACAATCCTTGCGGGACCTTTTACATTAGCACATCCATTTCTAAAATTACCTTGTCGGGTTTACGGTAGAAATTTTGTTCGATGGGGAGTGCCGGAAAAGCTTCAACAAAAATCGTATTCAACTTGTTTGACGCCACGATGCGTATCCACGACGTTGCACCCGCTGTTTCCAGATCGAAAACACCGGATTGGCCGCTGAAAGTTGGCGCTAAATTGGTGGAAGGCGTCGATACAGGATGAGGTTTGGATGCAGTTTTGTAAAATACATAAAATTGATACTTTAGGACACGAAGAGGCACCGAGACGACTGGCGCCCCGGATTCCCCGTCAAAACATGCCAGCAAAAGTGAAGGAACACCTACTAGGTGCTTTAAAAGCGTATTAAAAATATTAATGACTTTTAGAACACGACGTACGACTCAAAATTCGGAAGTTGACGCCGATGTTGACATTAAGGACGTGAAACCTATTATGTAAGTAATGTTTATGCTTTGTACCAGGGTCAGAGACCGCATAGCAATGAATCAAGGTCTTCTGATGTCTATAACCGGTTTTTTAATATTGTTTTATTTAGAAAAGCCGAGCAAAGCGCCGCTACTTCCGATACACAATCACCCGCATCACGCAGGGTCCAACGCACGCCTCGTCACGGCAGCCCACCGAAGGAGTTGGCGGTTCAGAGCCCAAGACGGCAGAGGAATATTTCGGAAAATCGACCTGCCGTAGAGGTAGCGCAATCTAATCTCACTAAATAAATATTTTTAGAACATGGAATCTAATTTAAAGGCGGCGAAAAATGTTGTCGAGAAGCCGATAAAGGAAAAGTGGGTTTAATTGCTGCTTTTTCGATACCCAGTAAAGTTTAGTAGATTAATTCTATTTATAGATCTCCGATGAAAAGCCCGGCTCGCCAACGCAATGATAGCACCACCGAATCGCTGGCCAGCGAGCGATCAGCGCGAAAGAGACGGCGCCCGGCTGGTTTTGGTGGGTATTTGGTTTCTATATGGGATTTCAAACTTCGTGTTTCGATGTTGAAATAGAAAAAGGAGTAGAAGAAAGCGAAGATAAAACTAGAAAAACATTTTTTTTTAGATGACTACGTCCATTTCGACATGCACAAGGGCACCCGTGATCGCCAGTCCGAGTCGCAGGAGGATAATGTGAAAATTGCGGAAGAGATGGTTGAAGCGTTCGAAGCGGAGGTTGTTGTCGATGATCTGGAGTACAGGTGTGGATCGCTTAAAGGATTTTTATAATTATTATTTTAGTGAGGAGCAAACGATCGAGACGATCGAAGAGATTTCGGTCTCCGCCGCTCCGGTCCCGCTTCCTCCGATCCCACGTGGCTTCCCAGCAAACCAGCGGAATATTCCTGATCTCGAAAATCGGCCGGGACCCAGTGGGCAAGCGCAGCGCGCATATAGAGTCCCTCCTCCAAGAAAACCGAATCAAGCGCCGATGTCGTCAAGACCGCAACAACATCCACAAATTCGTGCTCCACCACCACGTAACAGCCAGCCGCCACCTCGCGTTCCTCGAGATGTACGTGGATCTAGATTTATCAGATATCTTTTTCTAGGCCACAATGTTCTCCGGCCGGCCCGGCGAAATACTTGTCGATATGGATGTGGCGATGGGGGAAAGCGTGGATGTTGTCGCAACGAGCCCGGTGCCCAAGAAGGCCGTCGTCATCAACAAGCGAGGGCCTCGAGGTTGGTAAACTCCACGATGTAATTTGAAATGTTTTTTATTTAACTTGATATGGAGGAGAAAAGATAGGTGTGTTAAAAATACGGAATTTCATAACGTAATGGGTTAAACCCGCTGTCCGGTAGCTATTTTAGTTCCATTTTTAGATCAATTGCCCGAATATTCACGCACGGCCGCCCAGTCATCATCTTCGCAGCCTCCCCGAGCTGCCCCAATGCTGGTAGGTGCTTCGTTTTTTCGCTTACTATAAACTTATTAGAAGCGAAAAACTCACGTTAAATATTTTCAGGTTGCCGGCCCGCCTCGAATCAGCGCAGCAACCTTCCCCAAGCCTCCTGCCGGCTCCCAGATGCTTCAAACCTCAGTGGGTAGCAAGGCAACCGCAAGGCCGCCTCCGACCAGACCAGTCCCCCCTCGCCAAGAACAAGGTTTCGTTTCTATATTGTTTTTAAAGTGATTTTTCAGCTTCATCACCACCACCCCGCACTCGCCCCCACACGGTCGGCTCTCAAAATGCCTCTAGCAGCCGGGCAACTCCACAAAGGACAACTCAGGTATTTTTCTGGCGATTTTTGGCAAAACCCGCTTTAGGGCGAAGAAATCGAGGAGAAGCTGATTGTGGAGATTAACAACCAGCCGATTATTTTGGAGGTTTGGGCTTTTTAGCGTTATTTTATCATTTTCTTTATTTAGAAACTGGTCATCAGCGACGATGACGGTCCGCGAGAAGTCTATGGAATGTACACTGAAAACGGCAAATTGATTGGTACGTTTTTAAAGGAATTTTTCGGCATATTTCCTATAGGCTTTGGCGATCTCGACGACGCCGGCGAGTTTGTGCAAGAAATCGATCTGGACGATGCCGGTGATGCCCTGCAGATTGTTGGTGGGTTTTTAAGTATGTTTATTTAACCGTTAAACTTGTAGGTAACTTCTTTAACGACATTTTTGGTCCTTTTAGAAGACGATATGCCGGTCGGGGATGCATTGAAGGCCGATTTGAAGAAGGAGCGGACAGCCGGCGAAGCATCAGCTGCAGCAAATGCTGCCGAAAATGCCGAAAATGGCGATAATGTAATTACTGTATTCTCTATTTTTATCAGTTTCTTAGGACGAAGACGAGGGCCCGCCTTGCCTTGAGCCGGAAGTAGCAGAAGCCGAACCTCCGCCAGTCCCTGCCGCTGATGCCCATTTCGACGAAGATGTAAGTTTTTATTACAAATTAGCAACTTTCTGTTTTTTTTTCTAGCTCGGCTACCAAGTGCCCGGCGAAATGATGGGCGAGGACGGTTTTGTGGAAGATGATGGTAGGTCTCTCTAATCTAAAAAAAGTAAAAAAATCTGTTTTAGATATGAACTACGCAGAGGATGACGAAAACGCGATGGGCAACGAGAATGACGTGCGGACGGTCGAGTTCAACTTTTTGGACAAAAACGTAAGTATTTCACTAAAAATTGTTAATGTTTCGCAAAAATTCGAAAATTGCGGTTAAAAACTCGATTTTAAAAGTATATTCCTAAAGAGCTCTTTTTTAGAACATCTGCTGCGGCCTTTGCGGCGACATCGTTCCCGAAGAACTTCTGATGACTGAACACTTGCCAAATGTCCATCCTGATGTAAGAATTCGTTTCTTTTTAGTTTTGTCAACTTTTAGGTACTCGGTGAAGGGGCCCAAGACCTCGAAGAGATCCCCTACGACACGTGGCTTCGCGACAAGATCCTCAGCGAGAAGCGCTCGATGGAGAGTGGCTTCCGAACGGCAAACCCGTACGCCAGCTACATGTCCCGGACCGTGAAGAAGATTTCGCAGGTTCGGCAAGGGAAAATGATGGTGTTGGCCTTAAATTTTAGTGATTTACCTTTTGAAAATGATTTTTTTAGGTCCGTGTCTGCCCAGCGGAAATGGATCTGCCGCAGCTTCAGGATTGTCTGCTAAAGAAGATGGCATGCCAGATTTTTAGCCATTTTTATTTTGTTTTTAGGTCGAAAAACTGGGCCGCCGCGTCCCTGTGACGCTCGTCGACAAGCTGCACGCCCGCTGCGGCCTCTGCGGCTCGATCCTGTCGCTGAACAAGAAGTTTGAGGTGTGTAGATGACTTTATAACGGTTTTTAAAATCTGATTTTAAAATTTTAAAGTGAAAACCTTATCTTTTAGATCATGCACCTCGTCCGGCACTTCAACGCCTGGCACCCCACGGTCCATCGATGCGCCGGGACTTGGCAATCCAAAGCCCCGCAACCCGGAAATGGCAAGCCGTTGAGTCTGCAGGATTTTGCGGTGGTTGACGCGGCGATGGATGCGATTGATGGGCTTCAGGTATGAATTTAACGATTTTCTATCGATATTTAATTAAATACCCTGAAAATTATGTGTTTTTTAGTGTATATGGTGTGGGATGTTCATGAGCAAATCGTCGCTTGCCATGCATTTTCACGAGGTTCACGCCGAAGACATCGAAGTCCCAAATTGCCGCCTTTGCATTGAGGTCTGCTTTTTTCTATTTTTTTTTCTTACCTTTAAGCGACCTTTTTTAATTATAATGGAGTGTTTGCTCCAGGAACTCGTCGTCAACGCCCGCCTGCGCGAAACCTACATGGAAGACTTCGAGGTGACGATGCCCGACGAGAAGCACTACGAGTGCCGCAAGTTCAACATCAAGGCCAAGTCCGAGGACAAGCTCAACCGGGCCATCAACAAGAAGCTCTCCCAGCAGGCTGGGGAGTTTGACGAGGAGGATGAGGAGGAAGGTGGGTTCTGGATTTTAGCTGTTAACGGAATTATAATCCTTAAATTCTCCTTAATATGGTGTGATTTAGAGGAAGACGAGGAGGCCAAGCCGCAGATGAACAGCCGGATGCAGTACGGGCGGCGGAACAAGCCGAAGCGGACGTTTGTGATGCCGGCTTATAGGTTTGCCCTTGATTTTAACAAATTAAATTTTTAAACAGCTTTCAATCCGAGAAATGTAAAATTCTTTTCATTTTCAGACAAACCCACCCTTCCCCGGATTCTGAATTTGTCGAAGCCCTGACGGACACGCAGTGGCGCTGCCGGAAATGCGGCTTTATCATCATGGCGGCAGTGATGTCGGCAGGGTTTGTTTTTATTAAAAATTTATAAGTATCCTTTTAGTGCCATCCTGCACTACAAGAAATGCCACCCGGACGAGCAGGAGAAGCTGCGCTACGAGTTGTGCAAGGCAAGAAAATACTCACCTTTTGCTCAATAAGCCCAAAATTAGGTCCGCCTTGAGCACATCTCCGACGGCTGTATGGAGTTCATCCACTCGCAGCTCATCGAGTGCCTGATGTGCCACATTTCGTTTGCCCTCCATCGGCCCTATAATATGTGCCGCGCCATCCGCCATCTCCAGAAGAAGCACCCGGAAATGATGCCCGAAACTCAGCAAGGCCGACAGCCCGGATACTCCCTAGCCAATGTAGAGGTCCCCGCGGTTAGTTTGACCCTCTCAGGCCACATTCACCCCATTTTAGCAAAATGACCATGTCGAGAATTGCATGCTACTCAGTGTTCAAGTCGATGCTCAAGTTCAAGCTCAATTCCAGAACCAGGAGAAGCTGCACAGGAACCCGGCCGAGGAGGAGGACGAGGACGAGGGGTTGCTGTCGGAGGCGGACATAAGCCGGTTGAGGATGATGACGCACGAGCATTTTACGGAGGTATACCGATTTCATAGATAATTTATTACATTTTATACCCACCGAGAAAATAGATTCCTGATGTCGGGAAAATTTTATACTTTTTTGTTTCAGATTCGCATCATTGGCAGCGACTTGGTGCAGTTGTGGCACAACGGCAACATTGTCGGCCAGCACTCCCTGGCGGAAGTGCTGCGCTACCGCAATGGGGGTCTTCAGAATGACGGCCCGATGCACGTCGAAGAGTACGCGGCCGAGGAGTATGCCGTCGAGGAGGAAGTGGTCAGTAGATGATCTTCGCTAGCTTGCCTTTTTTGAAAATCGAACAGAATTTTGCGGTTTCTTATCAAAATGTCGAAAATAAAATTGCGGGAATTTCCGTGTTTTGAAATATATGAAAAATCCTTAGATCCAGCTCCTGAAAAAATGCGAGACTGTAAAATTCTTAAATTTTAAATTAGAACTTTAAATGTCGACCTTATGAAATTTTCACGTCGTGAAATATCAGTCAGTCTGATACGAAACGACCCGATTTATCCAAATTCCAGATATCTGTCGACGAAATGATGAAGCCGTCAACTTCGGAAGAAGTCATAGAGCTCGACGAGGCCGAATACTTTGACGACCCGGAAGCTCCAGTTCCGGTGCGTGAAAAATTCTGACTTTTTGAAATGTACATTTTTCCTGGATTTTTTAATGTATTTTTCAGCACGAAGAAGGCGCCCTGTTCCGTCGACTCTACGAAGAGGCCAAGTACAACGAGCTGCAGACGAACCGGCGGCTCCGCGGCGCTCCGCCCGGCTACCAACGTCGTGTCGTCCAGATGGCCGAGGATGACTACAGGGTTCTAGGTATGACACTTTCAATTTTTTACCCTATTTTTTTTAGAATATTTCGTCCCCGACGGGTCCTACGAGATGCTTGTCTCCCAGCCGAAGCTCCAGAAAAATGCTTAAACCTTCTGTTACTAATTCCTTGCTCTAAAACCCTTTCAAAAAACCGATTCACTTGCATGTTTGCCTTTTCCACATTGCGTTGTGCTCAACCCAAAAATAAAATAAAGCCCAATTCTGCCTCTTGATAAGTCGATACGGGTATCCCCGGCAGCTCTTCCCCAATTTCCTTGCCCTTTCGGCGATAAAAATTTGATTTTAGTGATTGATGAATAAATGTTGAACTTTTTTTTTCTTGTAAGATCTGCTTTGAAAGCGGTTTTTTGCTGATAAAATATCTTAAAAAAATGATTGTATGATCTTAGAAGAACGGGCAAGGTTGTATAGTTTTTGTTTTAGGTTAATTTCTCGCATTAGGTCCGGCACCTTGGCATTACTTAATTATCGCTGCCTATTTACGTGGGCGAGCTGCGCGCGCGTTGCATGTCGCGCCTGCGACAAAATTGCGCCAATTCATATCCAAAAGTCCATAGTACTGCCTTGCCGATGCCTTTAAGACATTGCGTTCTGGAACGCCATGGTTTTACTCAAGCCCCTTTCCAGGCGATGAGCCACAAAGCGTCGACTTCGAAAAAGACCGAGGATGATTATTTGGAGGAGCGCAAACACCAGGCGACCAAGGAATTTGTCAAAAAGGTATCATACTTCGAAACGTCCATGGTTTGACTTTTTTTTTTAGTTAAAAGGCTACATGATCAAAAAGGACCGCTCGAACGACGCCCTCCAGCTGTTGATCAACAAGCAGAAAGATGGGCTGTATACGAGGAAGAATAAGGGGCAGGTGGGTTCCAGGTTTTTTTCCCGAGTAGTAAAGCTAGAAATTGGAGCTTAATCCTTTACGAGGAAAATATTTCAGATTGTTCCCCTACTCAACGAGGCGCAGAGAACACTCGAGTCCGAACTCGACTCGTACCGCAAGCTCATCTCGGACGTTGAAAAAATCCGGCAACGCCACAAGGACGCAAAGATGGAGGGGCTGGTGCGGAGACAGACGCTGATGGCTGTTGTACACAATGAGGTGAGTAGACATCGTTTCTTCACAATTTGATTTTGTGATTTTAAAATGCATTGCATCCTATTTTACCTTAAAAATCCAATATTAGGCCGCTGCCCTGCCTCTCTACATCGACCCGCACGCCCCGTACCCTCCGTATGGTGTCGGCGCCATCGGTTACCCGGATTCGCATACCTTCGAAAAAGGGGATTTTGTTGCCGCTAATATTGAGGAGAATTGGATTCTGGCTGAGGTGAGCAGGCCAAATTTCTTACTGTTGCAGATGACCCGAAGATATAAAAACGCGATCATTTTTCTGATGAATCCGATTGCCCATTTTCAGGTTGAAGATGTGGTGTCGAATGCGAAGGTCAGCGTCAGGGATATTGAGGACGGAAAGGTAGGAATTACCAGAAATTACTAAAGAGAATTTAGACCGAGATCGTCGTCAAGCGGAAAGTTCTCGGGCTTCCGGAATATCGGGCCGACCCGCTACGAGACGCGCACGCCCTGTTCCCGGTTGATGCGATCGTGCTGGCGCTGTACCCACAAACTACGTGTTTTTATAAAGGTAAGTAAAATTTAGTGAATATGGAGTGTTTTGAAATCCGAATTCACCCTAAAAACGACGAAATTCAGGTGCGGTCGTCTCCACACCAAAATGTGCGACCGAAGACTACCTGATAGCTTTTGAAGACCCATCGGTGGGTTTTTAGAATATACAAACAATGGCCTTGTAAAAACTAAAACGTTAAAATAATCGAATTTACAGTACGCCGGCGGTTACTCAACCCCGATGCCGGCAGCGCAGCGCTACGTCCTCACCTACCGCGAGATTAAGCGCAGCCATAAGAAAAAGGAGGTCTATGAAGATTAATGATAATTTTTGCTACTTTCACTTTTTTTGTACAAATTCATGTGATCTCTGTGTAATTATGCAATCATTTTTTATATTGTTGTATTATGGGCTGGAATGAAGGGTATTTTGCATTTTGCCGTCGACAATTGAGTTTTGATAGATTCATATTGATTTTTTCTGGATTTATTTAAGCTGCAGTTCTTAGAGTTGTAGCTTGTAGTTCAGCAATTGAACCAAGGGTCTTACGTTGCGTTTGTTGAGCAGCAGTTGAGGAAGAGCTCGAGGGCTGGGTTTTGTTTTTATTCTTTGCCACAAGCGCGAGCCTAAAAATAAGGAGAATTATTTTGTAGTCTAGTTTTTAAAAAGGAATTTTTTAGAAAATTTTAAACCACTTTTTTGCACTTTTTGTTGTTTTTTGACCGCGTAAAACTTGAGTTTTTGCCTTTCTACCTGGCCGTCTTCTGAAAGAACATCGTCTTCCGATTCAGCGAGCTGTTCACCATGTTTGTCACCGGCTCCTTGATCAGCGACCGCCGCAGCTTGCCCACCTAAAACTTCCATTATTTTTGCAGCGCAGATTTGATTTTCGGCCAGAAATAGTTCCAGGACTCTGGGCTTTACGGGGCAATCGGAAATGGAAAACCTCCGCGCATGCCCAATTTGCCAAAGCAATCAAAATACCCTTGATAATGGTTTTAGGAATCGGGGGTCGGGAGCAAAGCAGGAAGAAAAGGAAACGGAATAGGGTGTGGTTTGGAAAGCCAAAAAAAGCTATTGATCAAAATATTTCGAAAATCATTCACAGATTGTGAAGTATGTTAAATCAAATTACAAGTTAAAATGAAGAAGCAGAAATAAGTTTAATAAAAATTAGAACAGGCATAAATTTTGCAAAATTAGATTTTTTGAGTACATTAAAGCGGTAATCGATTCGTAATGCACTAGATATTTTAAACCTTGGAAAATAAAGACAAATATCCCATTTTGAGACCACTAGATCCGGTGAACTTGTTGATCCCGACACGCAGACAGACGCCCATTATCTTAACGAGCACAAGGTATCTGAACTCACTATACTTCGCCCGCCACCCTGGTGGGCCCCCCAAAGGGGGGGGGGGTGGGGGGGGGGGCAGAGGGTGGGCGCTGGGGGTGGGGGTCGGGGTGGGGAGACGACCCCCCCCCCGCCAAGGAAAGCCATCAAATCTACAGCCGAGAAAATAGATAACCTATGTAATGAAGCTTTTTATAGTATCTTAGTTAGTAATTTTTTATTGCTAAAAAGGTACATAAAATTCTTAACAAATTTGACCCTCTTTGGCCATTTTTCATATATTTTTGATCAAAAAGTCAATCTTTTCCGTAAATTTTTATAATTTTGATGAATTTTTGTAACGTTTTCCACTATAGAATCGCGGTGGTTCCATTTTCTCCAATCACCCCACGGGAGGCGTGCTCTTAGAGAAAAATGTGTGCTTTCGAAAAAAATTTCCGGGGGTTTTATTAAAGGAAATTCCTTATCCACAAACTGTGCAAAATGATATAAAAATGGTCGTTATAGGACCACACGGTTCTATACTGTCAATAAACTTGGTTAAAGGCTAGCTTTTTCGCTAGTCTTACAGTGGGGGGGGGCGCCCGGGGTGGGTGGGGGGGGGGGGGGGGGGGGGGGGGGCGACCACCCCACCCCCCCCCCCCCCCCCCCCCCCCCCCGCCCCCCCCGCCCCCCCCCGCGCCCACCTTTCCCCACCTTTGGGGTGGGCCCACCAGGGTGGCGGGCGAAGTATAGAACTCACCATGGCAATCGAAATCAACGGTATTAACGAGGAGCCCAATAATGCGTAGACGTTCGAGAACGCGTTCACCCAATCGGGAAGTCGGAATTCTGAAAAGTAACATAAGTCCTACTGTAATTTAATTATTAAAGTATTTTGTTAACTCACGATTAGAATAAACCGACAGTGTCGATATTGCCTTTAGCCCCGTGCTACAAAACGGCACCAGGGATTGGAGACTAACAGAGTAGAAAAGCTGTTTGTCGTCCACTTTTACGGCCATTCCGGCTGAGCGAGAGATTTCATATATGAAAAATATAATTTCTACCTCTTCTAGCATATCTTTTAATATGGATAAAAGTAGCCGCATTCACCGCAACGCCAGAAAGCGTTGCCAAAAAGACGTAGAAGGTATAGGCCTGGAATTGGTAGGAGGATTAGGTTATTACTTACACGCTTTAACGGTGTTAATTAAACTCATTGAATAGCTTACAAAGTAGTGAATAAGTTGGTTTACCTGCTGTAAAATCGGTACACTTGTAAATAGTAGTGGATGGCAGTTATCATTATTTGTGGGGACGCCGATAAGGAAGTGGCTGATGTCGTACAGGAGCTGAAACTCGGATTCAATAAATTTCTTATGAAATATATTCTATTGACTTAATATACATTAAATACCGTAATTTTCTGTATTTTTTAGATTGCCACTTACCATTGGTAGCCAAATAAAAAATAAAACAACACAAGAAAATCTTATGGTCGTCCGGTGGTGGTAGACGATCATCAGGAAACGATTTAGGGCAACTACCTACAAAAAATCGGCATTATTAGGCACTGTATTTTGGTTTGAACGCTATTTTAATAAAAAAAATGCTCGAAAATTGCTTACCGAAGGCACCAGAAATGAGCAATACCATACTGAGCTGGGCGACTTTTTCAAAAATAGGCATATCACGGCCGGATACGTAATACGGTCCATAAAACAGAGCAGAATATACCAAGTTGTGTTATAGATAACGATTGGAGTGGATAGTATAAAAATCGTTATTGTCATAAATGAAATTGTGTTCTAAAATTATACATATATTTGGTTTTAACCCCTCAAATTATAAATTAGCAGATCTTTTTTAAGCTTTAAATTTGTTAAAAACGGCTTTAGGAGGATTTTAAACCAAAAGGCTTACCGAATATTTCTTGAGTAACGTCCTTCGATAAAGCAATAAGGAAGTCATAGCCCCAAGAATAATTGTGCTCGGCAACCCGCAAATCTGGAAAAAACGGCAAATTTTTGTAAAAATCGGGACAAAATTACCATATTTCGCCACGCTTCACTTTTAAAGGAATTCGGGGTGTAGGCTTCGACAAAATATTGCGAAAATGTATAATTTAGGCTGATGATGCCGGACATTCCATTGGGCTGAGCTGAAAGCATTATCTTAGGTTTGAAAATTTAGCACAAGAAACTGAGGAGTAATATAAAGTATTATAATAAAACGAAAATGCCGCAGAAATAAAGCAGAAGATAAATACATTGTTAACATAGAAATCCAAAAATTTTATTATAATTCATTAATAGAAAATCTATAGAAATTCAACTTAAATCTTTTCGGTGTAAAATGAATGCAACTTTGCATGGACTTTAGTACAACCAAAATACCATTTTGTTCGCAAATTTAAGAATTTTTTATAAAAAAATATATAAAATATATTTGGAAAGAAATACACGAGAAACAATGAAGACCATTGAGTTCAAAATGTATCCAGTATATTCCTTCGGGACTTCGCCATTAAAACCCTGTTTTGATGATGCGCTAATGAAAACTACGCCAGTCTGGTGATTCCGAGTAAAGTCTCTACGCGTCTAGCCGTTTTTCATAATTTCCCCGGCTTGTTCCGTAGGCCACCAAAAAACATGGCTCTTTTGCGCTTGTGGAAAACTGGGCCCAGAACTGCCCCCCAGATTCGGGCGTGATTTCCAATTTAACGGCGGTGGGGAGGGGGGCGCCCGCTAGTCTAATTGCCGCCATTTTTTTGAGTAACGTTGGGCGAGGTAGGCTGGTGTTGAACTATTGGCTTGCGAATACTTTTAAAATATTACGCGAAAAATAAAGCGTGATTCTACGCGAGACTTTTGAGGCCTTAAGGTTAGCATTGGGGGTCGTTGAGGAGGAGCTCAACCCTTGGCTTGCGAACCCCTTTAAAATGTCCAGGAAATGATGGTGAAAGGCAATTTTTAATTTGCATAACTAGGCAATAAGGTACACCCTTATTAAGGGAAGGGCAAGTCATGAATTTTGTTAGCTATTAATTATACGAGCTAGAAGTTTCGGGAAGAGGCGACAAGCCGCGCGAACTCCGTTTGATCGCTTTCGACAGGTCGTAATCCAGTACCTAATGTAATGTTAGAAAGGATTCACTGCGTGTCGCGCAAGTTTATTAAAATTTATAGCACTGTAGCTAATCGGAAAATTACTGACTATGCTAATCTAAAGAACTCGTCTGATCCAAAAATCCGGTGAGGTATCAGAATGGCAGAACCTACGTGGAATTGGTTTTTACGCCCTGCCAGGTGTAAATCAACTTAAGAGAACAGATGAAAAAGGGTATCTACAATCAAAAACGAGATCTCTTCCTTCCCGATATTGTTGATAATTCGTTGAAAACGCTAGCACCAAATTTTGGAAAAAACAAAAGGCCTTTATTTCCCGCGTACTACCGATGCATAATTAAAAGAATTGCACGAATCGTCGGATCACATGCATGCCCATTCGTGGGCCAGCCGACCAAAAAATATTCGCAAATTAATGCGTTGGTTCATTGAATTCCCGGCCGGCGCATTTGAGCACAATTTTTGTTATGCACGATGGCGAAGTGTGGATCGATATATGTAGTCGAGAAATTAGTAAAAAAAATTCTATAGTAGTAAGGCTCCAAAAAGTCTATTTTTCGCCAGTAACAAGGTTGACGACAAGAATACACGGCGTGACCCCAATTTCCTGAAAAAAGGACGAAAAATTGGGCAGGAAGAAATTACCTAATTTCCTCGCGTTTCCAGCATGGAGGGAGGTGAAATGCCTTTTTAATGGTTGACTTTTTTGGAATTTTCCAAGTAATTTTTAGTGAAACTTCTGAATTGATATTTTTATAGTTGGACCAATAAACAGGTTCATTCTAGCGCTATAGCTGATAAAAATGCGCGTAGCTTGCATTTTTGTAGGCTTATCGAAATTTATTGAAGTGGAAAACAGAAAAACAATTTATTCCATTCACGAGGCGGTGCAGTTTCTGGAGATTATTAACATAAACAAGTGGCCTGGCTAATATTTAAGCTGGAGTGAGATTTTATAACGTTAAAAATGATGATTCAAGAGGTCAATTGGCCCCAGGTCCATGCAGTATTAAAAAACTCGGTTTTCTCAAATCATTTTTGCGTTTGGTGAGGGTGCGTTGAGATCACAAAGGCGTCGAAACAGGTAGATCAAGGGTAAAACAATTAATGGATTTATTTTTTTGTAATTTTTTTGAAAGTTTATTTGCGCCCAAATCGAAGGTGGATATCCTCGGGGTTGAAGTGCAACGATGACGGCCCGGAGCGCTTGCCGAATCGGAGCGATAGGTCGTCGGCGCTGAACTCGCGTTTCTCGTGTCTGAAAATTGGAAATGTACAAAAACCCTAAAAAGTTTATTCTTTTAAACCTAATTGGCATTTTTGTGCATCACCAATCTTGTCCTGTTTAATTTTTGGCTTTTGCAAGTCGAAATTTTTTTCTTGGATTTTTTAAAAACAGTTTCAGATGCTTTCAAGGAGTTTTCTATAAATCTTAGTTATTTAAATCTTATTAAATATTGAAGTTAATAAATCTTAGTCCTGATTTATCCGAAATTGGTTGTAAATTCTTAAGATCCAAACGCCTAGAAATTATTGACATCTTTGCTCATTCGGTTTTATCCCTTTTTTCAGAATTCAGAATCCCGACGAAACCCTATCCCGCGATTTCGTCTTGACTACGGTGTTGCGCTTTGGAATGTGGTGGTGATGTGAGTGGGAGGAGGACGGTTAGGATTTTGCTGTTCGGGGATTTGTGCATTTTCCCGTGCTTCTCCGGCTTCACCACTGGGGGGGATTTTGTGCTCGAATTACCCCTTGTAGAAGATTTTCGATTGCAGCTTACTCCAAATGGATCCTGGGCTAAATTGGGGGCACCATTTCCACGTCATAATTGACGTTCAAAATGATAAAGATACCACGAACTATAAAACTAGAACTACGACTTTGAAAAACCAAGAAAAAGAATTGATGCTTACCGTGGCGCGAAGGCGACTGATCGTTTTTCCGCTGCCGGCGCGAAGTAGTAGTCCTAAAAAGCCGTTTTAAAGGGATGGAAAAGGCAAATCTAGTAAAGATTTTTCAATTTTTCAAATTGCCATGGTTTATTCGGCTACACTAAAATCCAGTTAGGAATTACGGGCTTCCTAGGTCCAAAGATAGCTCCGGGTCCAATCCGCAAAACAAGTGCTCCGGGCGGGGGTCGAACCCGCATCCTACGGCTTTCGAGTCCGATGTCCTTGAGCTACCGAAGCACGCGGGTGCCCCCCCCGGGCAGCTATCCATGCCAGCCCAACCATCCTCCAGACACTAAGTAATATCGTTAAGGTCTGAAATCTTTGGCAATAGGCCTTTCCTTGAGCCAAGGCATCTATTCCGGAATTTTCCAGCAAAATTCGGGTTCAGAAATGTATTTAAGGCTGATTACCAAAAATTCTACCTCTCCGTACGGCACGTAAAAAGCGGAGGCGACGCTGGCCAACATCAAAAACGAGGCAACCAAGTACCAGAAGAAGGATGACCCAGCTGTTTGGCGCATTCTGCTGTCGAGATGGTACCGGCGGGTGGGCGGGGGACGCTAAAAAGGAATAAGATGCATACGTAAGGTATCTAGAGCTTAAATATGATATAAAATCAATAAAAAACAGACAGTGCAGACATATGAAGACCAACATGCAAAAACACCTAGTAAAAAACAGAGTTTTTCAAGTGGAAATGCTTGAAAGACGGGCGTGGAGGGCAAATTTCCTTGCAAAACGATATTTATACGCAAATCGTTAGGGTCGCTACATTAAATATGTAAGAAAAATATGGCGGATTATGCCCTACAAAATCTACAGTAATTTGTTTGTTTTTTGCAAATAAATTTGTAGAACCTGTAGCACAAAGATTGTGTCCTAGAAGCTCCTAGTTCTCGAAGCGTACATGTCAACAACAAAGTCCCGGGCTCGGAATTTTTCTTTATTTCTTTCAAAAAGTCGGGGATCAAAACATCATCCTCCTCCCCATTGAGAAGGAGGCCCGTGAAACATTCAGCATTCTCCGTTCCCCGCGGAAGGACCAAAAAGTCGGGGGAATAATCGAGGAGGGCTCGCGCGCGCGGCAACGTCTTCAGATGAGGGGAAAAGAAGCTGTCACAAATCCATTTGTTCAGGCATGACTGAGTTGAGATAGAGAGAGAGAGAGAGAGAGAGAGAGAGGGAGAGAGAAAGAGAGAGCGAGAGTGAGAGAGTGAGGGTGAGAGAGGGTGAGCGAGAGAGAAAGGAAGAGAGGTCGAGAGAGAATGAGAGAGGGTGAAATAGAAATAGTGTTGCTTCGCCTTTTAAATGATTTCAAGGTGGTGTGAAGCCGACTTGAAGCAGCCCGAAGCTACTAAAAAATGAGAAAAATTTTTGAAAGAAATTCCAAAGTTTAAGTCTACGGAATGAAAAGAGCTTTGGAATGAAAAGAACCGAAAAACCTATCCTGTTCCAAAATCATCATTTCCCAAATGTTTGCAAGCCGGCCGGCCTAAAAACCCGAACCTTCCGTACTGAACGGCCGGGCAAACAGAAAGGTGTACTGGCACGTACTAAATGTTCGGTTTTCGCCCTATTCTGCGGCTATTTTGACCCCGGCGTCTTGACGCGGAAGCCACAATATTAGTGTATGCAAGCTCTTTAAATATTCTCTTAAGCAAAAACGGGTAGACAGGTTTTTTTTGGAAGTGATCTATTAAAAACCCGAAAAGGCTTCGAAATTGTTCTAAAAATTTCTTGGAATTGCTTAAGTTCCCCCTAGCCTCTAGAAATCTGTTTTCGAGGATTTGAAAAATTCCGGAATCCTCCTGGCCCCGCGAAAAAGTCGCTTACTACTACATAACTTTTCAGATGGGCGGGTCGACCCAAGTTCCCTAGGAATTATTCAATGACCCAACTCTGAAAGTCACGACGCCCTGCTACTTTTTACGTGTTTTTGGAGCCAGGCGAACAATGGGAGACCAGGGTCGGCTTGACGAAGGGCTTGAATTTTTCAGGGCTTGTGCGTAAGCAGAGCGGCTTGGGGAGGGGCCGAAAAAGATTGCCGGGCGTTTCTTAAGGGATTTTAAATGCGGAAAACTAAGCCTAAGACGAAACTTCAGCCCAAGCCCAAGCGCAACCCTATGCCTAGGCTTAAGCTTAAGCCTAACCTCAAGCGTCTGCCTGAGCCTAAGCCCAAGTTCAGACCTAAGCCCAAGCGCAAGTCCAAGCTCAAGCCTAAGTTCAACCCAAGTATAAGCCTAAGCTTGATCCTAAGCCTAAGCCAAAAACTAAGCCTAAGCCTAAGCCTCGGCCTAAGCCTAAGCCCAAACCAAAGCCGAAACCTAAGCTTACAACGAAATCCATTACGACCTTTTCACCTTGAGTTTTGCTCACCGACCAAAATATTCCAGTGGTTCCCACCCCCGCCGGCCCGGAGATCTTGGAGGGCAAAATAAGGAACTCCCCTCGAACCCGTCGAGGAACAAAAAATACGGATGAATCCTGGATGTCTAAGCTATACACAAAATAAGAAGCAGTGATTTGGCGAAAAGATCAAGCTCTTGGTCAAGTTTTTCGAGCAAATTACCCCCCCAATACCTGGCGATAATCCGTTTTTTCGGGGGGTGATATCAGAAAGTAAAAGTGGGGGGTAAATCGAAAGCGCAGTTTTTTAGGGTTCTGGCCATGGTAATTGAATGGTCTGTGAAGGGCAAGCGGCTTGGGGTCTTGACTAGATTCTCCGAGAACCGAAAGCATGTTATACTTGCCTTGAAATGACAAAAAATTGATCGATATCAAGAATAAAAATAGGCTACAGTAGAATCGGTTGAAACAAGAACAGAGTGCTAGCGATTGTCAAATTTGGAAAGCACCCTAAAACCTGCCCTTCAGCCCTGTACTATCCCGGAAATGTTGTTGAGATCGAGCATTAATGGGTTGCTGGAGGGCGAAACGGGTAGACATTAAAAATTTAGCTTGGGAAGATGTATGTGTTTCTGTAAAGGGTCGGGAAAGTGTAAACAAATGTTCGGAGCCACGACGAGTGTACGACCAGGCTCAGCTAGAAGCCTAAGCCCAAGCCTTAGCCTAAGCCTATTCCTTAGCCAACAAGCTTTCTAAGCTTTCTAAAGACAAGCACAAAAATCAAAAGAAAAACTCCAACAACGCCTGAAACCAAACGCTGCCCGGAAAAAATATTCAACTCAGCCTCCTCGAATTTCCGCTTGTTTTAACGACCCGCCCAGCGCAATCGGGAAACCGGAGAACGGCAATTTTTTGAGATTTGGAAGGACCAGGCGGTTTGCAAAGATGGCCCCCGGGTCTGAAAGGGTCCTGGGACCAGCTTTTTAGCAAAGTTCACCGCCCCCACCCGGTCGACGTCTTAGGGTCGGGTCGGAAAACAAATGGCGTGGGATATGGGTCTTCTTTTAGATCGACCCGAAAATAACCGGAAGTGCCCGTTAAGGGAACAGGGAAGTGGTTCTAATTTTTGTAGGTAGATCTTAGAATCGTCTAATATTGCGAGAGAGAGAGAGAGCGAGAGAGAGAGCGAGAAAGGGCGCGAGAGACTGAGAGGGATGGATAGCGCTTGAGAAAGGGCAATCGAGGGGCTCCAGATGTAAAAATATCTGCGGTAAATTCTGTCACGAGTTGCCTTAAACCGTACGTAGTATCAAAGTACGTTTGACGTATCATCAGGGACGTAGCATAAGGTGGGCCCCCTGGGCCCGGCCCCGCGCCGGGGCCGCGAAATTTTCTAGGGGGCCCCTGTTTTTTTTTCCCAATATTTTGCTGCCTGCGCCGTTATTTTGTCACGTTTTTACTGCTATTTGTAGAGTTATATAGCGTTTTTTCCAAAATGTTCCTGTTTTCTCGTTAATTTTTGAGTTTTTCGCAAAAATTTTTTCGGGGCCCGCCCCGAAATTTTTTTCTGGCTACGCCCCTGCGTATCATCTTCTTTTTACTAAATTTAATCAACCAAAAAGTTGTGCCCTTTTTTGTGGGAGTTGCCCTTTGTAAGCTTTTCCCAAGAATCCAGTGAAATCCACAGTATCCCTAATTCTATTCTAGATTTTTCCGTTGAATGAACTTATTTTCGGTCACGTGGTGGAGACAAAATCAGTGGACGGTCCGCTGCGGCTCAAAAGCTGAAAAGGTGTCCAGAATAATATAACGGAAAGAATGGCCAAATTCTAATTATCGTAGGTGAGGAAATACAACCAAAAATAACGATATCGTCAGCCTCAGAAAATTTTTTGTTCGGCATTTCCGGATGACGTTACCGGGAGGATCGAAAAGACGGGTTCGATAAATAAGATCTCGAGGAACTTTTCAGGCGGCAAGAGCAAAACGCGGAATTAAATTTCAAATAACAGGAAAAGTGAAAAATAAGCTGAATTTAGAGCTGATACGCATTTTCCGGGAATCGGGTAGAAACGCAAAAGCACAAGACGAATAAGAAAAGTCGGATACGAGCCAGTTGCGATAAATCTTCAATTAGCATGAAACTCGGGTGGAGAGCGCGGGTTGGGTCTTTTTAAGAGTAAACACGTGATGTATTCTAAAAACAAAAAGTCACGGATTTTTAAGAAAAAGGAATAGCAAATAGTTGAATAAAAAATGAATAATAAATGCCTAGAATTTTGAGAATTGAATTGAACATCCTAAGCAATAAATCTTACTTAAATTCATAATCGAATACTTGGGAATGCCATAAAGTGTAACCCTAAAAACCGAATGAGGAAAAACCGATTAAAAACGTATATAAGAAAATTTTGTTTGAAAAATTTGTCAGAATTATTAGTTAGATTTATTAAAATCAAAAACCACTATAGCGACATGGCAATTTTGCATTTATTCAAATTTTAGAACAATGAGAATTCAAACTGAAGAAATTAGGATAAATGCTGATGAGGAAGTGCCAGCAAAGATTCCCCTGAACTTCACCCTCAAGATGTTAATCACTATTTTCACCGGTAGCCAGGCAATATCGGCGCTGCGGAGTCTGAAAAACGGCTAAAAACCGCTGTTTTCCAGCGCCGAAATTGGCGACCCGGGCCCCCTAATTTATACGGGACCCATTTAGGGGGTGGAGGAGGCGGAACAAAGTGACGGAGGAGCCACTCTGTCCGCACACCGGGATTCCTGAAATTTGACCCCGGAAAATTCGAAGCGCGGCGACAGAATCATTTTGCGGGGGCAGGAACTAGGACAGAGAAGCGCGCGAAATTCTAGCTCTTTTGCTAAACGGTGGATGTAAAAAGTCTCTCTCTCTCTCTCTCTTTCTCCCTCTGTCTTTGTCCCTCGGTCTCTCTCGCTCCCGCACTCTCTCGCTCTCTCTCTCTCTCTCTCTCTCTCTCTCTCCCTACTCCCCTCCAGCTCTATTTCAGTTCAAACTACGGTGAATAAAACGGACCCTGGCCCGAACTATAGGCCTATAGGCCTACCAACTATAGACTATAGGCCGACTCTGGAGCTTTAAAGGGATGGTGACAGCAAAATTCTATGTGATTTTTCCAGCGAAGCCAAGGAGCTTAAC